TATTATTTGGTAAAATTACTTCTGGTAAATTTTTAAACAATTGTTTACAAACAATTGTATTATTATTTAAAAATTTGTAAATAATAAAAGATATTGAATCTTAAATAATTGATTATTAGACATATAATATTAAGCTAATTACAACAATATTTTAACGATTAACTGATAAATTATCAGAATTAATGGCAAATCAAATTTTGCTATTAATAATTTTTCTATTACTTCTGCCAGCATACTTTTTCATACTGGTAAACTGATGAAATTTAAACTATTTAATATTGCTCAAAGCAAATTTTTTCTTTTGTCCTACAGTCCAATATACAATTCCAAAATATTAGACTAATTAAGGTAATATTTGAAGATAAAAACGTAAAAATGTGACAACATAGAAACAATTAAAATTTTTTGTATTTAAGAAACATAAAGAGAAAAAAGACAAACAAAAATTTTTAATATTTCTTTTTTTCTGAAATAATGAAAATATAGTTGAAATGAGAAAAAGCATTACAGATAATCTTGATTTGAATGTTTTCTGGTATATTGGTACAAAAGTAATAACAAATGGTGGACGATATCGATATTGGCGCAAAGGTTTCGATTGTTGTTTGGAAATATTTGACTGTGATATATCAGATTCGGGCGATATTATATGCGTTGTAGAAGTAACAAATTCAATTGCTTCTGATATTAGTGTATTGCATGTCAATGGTATGTATAAAATTATTAAATTTTATTACAATAAATCAAAGGGATAGAAAAATGAATGATTATATTTAGTTAATTATTACTAAATAATTCAATTTACCTTATTTCTTTCTTTCTTTCTTTTATTTTTTTTTTTTTTTGCAGATGATGATTTAGCTGGAATTGAACCAAAATTTTTTCAAAATTTGAAATATGATGAAATTTACGGTTGTCTACAGTTAGCATGTCAGGTGTCAGGCTATCCAATACCTTATGTTACCTTTCATTTTCGCAATCGTCGCATTACAAGCAATCAACGAATAAGTAAGCTTTTTTTAAGAAGCTATTTTTAAATTATACAGATACATTGAAAGTATGAAACGGTAAATGTGATCATTTCAATTTCATATCATTTTTGATTATTGTTTCTTAAAGACGTTAATTAATTTGGAAATCGCTTATAACTTTCATAAAATTGTTCACGATTAAAATATAATTCTATCAAAGAAAGATAAACCGCGTGATAAAGGAAGCTTAAATTTAATAATTCAATCGAAATTTGAAAACATTAAAATCCTGCATATACATTCTTTGCATGAAATTTTTGTTGTTTTCTATTAGGAAATTATAACTTACTTTAATGATTTGCATGATAAATTCATAAATAAAATATTGCAAAAACTAATCTTGTTTATGATTTGTAAAAAATGTTTATTTACAGATATTGATCGAAAAAATGATTGGTGGATATTACGAATCAATAATTGTACAGTTGATGATGAAGGTAAGTATATAGCTATTGCAAGAAATCGGATCGGACGAGTCATTTCATCTTGTTCAGTGATTTTAAATAATAAAGATCCATCTACCTATATAGCTGATGTATAGGAATAGCTTTATCAAATGTTACTTTTGTTTTTCAAAATCTTTGAAAATTTACTTAAAGTTGATGTTATTGCTTTTTTTATTTTATCAAATTCATTTTTATAAAAATGAAAAACAAAAGACAAATTATCGATTCCTTTGGAAGAAATTTGTTTAATAAACAATTCATTAAATCGAAGCAAAAAAAAAATGCTTAAAATGATTCATATTATTTAACAATTTGATAGTACTGTTAAGAGAAGAATTTTGTGATGAGAAGAAAAAAACTTTTAATAATTACTGGCCATTAATGATTGATTTTAGGTGTGATGAAGTTTGCAAAATTAATACATAGCATTTTTTTAATAAACATTTTTCTCAATTTCTTTTCAAATTTAATAAACGATTTTTAAAATGCCTTCAATATTTTCTTCAGTGTTGTTTCTTTTTTTGTTATTTAAATAAATAAATGATTAGAAAAAGTTTTAAAAAATAAGCTTTAAAAATAAAAATTATAAAAATTTTAAAAACAAAAATTAAAAAAATGATTGGAAAAGGTAAAAACAAAAAACAAAATAGCAAAATGAAATCATTTTCAATATAATTATATTTATGAAATACAAATGAATTCATTTTCAGTAATAACTATTGGCTGAAATGTTTAATGTTCGATCATAAAATTAGAAAAAAAGCCTGATTTTTGTAAAGTTACATCTGTTAAAATATACAGGTGCTATCATCATTTATCATTACATTTAAGCCATCTGAGTCATTTGACGCTTTTGTCAGAAGTAGTGCAGATCAGTTCCATTATGATTACGTAAATGACAAGCAAAGTTAAAAATTGTAGTATTTTTACACTTACAAATTTTGAAATGCTGAAATACTTCAAACATATATCTATACTGCATCACATTTTATGTCTTAAAAAATCCGATCTACATTAGCCATTCCCTATCACAAACATACATCTCGTATACAACATATTCTGTTTGCTTACATATCATCCACAATTAGCGCTGATTTCATCCATTTCAGTATCATTTACAAATGTTTACTGTTATTTGCATTCTAAAACAATTACACGTGAAATGTATATCGAAAAGTATAATACTGTAGAAGACAGGTGTATTCTACAAAATACCGTAGGAGGTGGGTTTATTTCATAAAATACCGTACAGTTGAGATAAACATCATAGAAAATTCATAAATTTGCTATAGGGTATATTTGAAAATAGTATCATGGAAATAACATAGACTTACTATAAGAGAAAAGGTACCATATATTTGTGTATTAGCAATTCATAAGTACCATAATTAGAAGTATTTGACTTTAAATTTACATAAATCTAATTTACTACAGAAACGGCATATATAAAGTGTTCAAAAAGTGATAACTTTCATTTTCTTTTCCTTAAAAGCGGTTATCGTTGTGTTCTGTTGACTTATATGATGGTTGACAAGGATTACGATATAACGCTCAAGTCATACGCTAATGTATTCCGTAACATGGGAATAGATAATGTTTATGATGGCGATAGTGATGATCTATTATGTGATTGTGTTATCATTACTGATGATAATGATCGGTAAGAAGACTCGGTTATATTAATAAAAGTAGGGAAGACGACGAGAAGAAATATTTATATATTTAATTCATTGTAGTGGAATAGAAAGTTTTTATTACTTTTATTGTTATTCAAATGGCTAATAAATTTGGTATTATTTCTTCATTATCGCTAGTAGTGAATATACTACTCTATATTATTTGCCAATATTTTACTGTATTGTTTTTCGTTAATGTATTAAAGCGATTGATACATTTCTTCTTGTGGTAGTTTAATGATAAATAGCAAGTGTTTATTGTAATCTGCAACATTTGTTATTTATTCATCACACAAATACAGATGTTGTCTGTGATTATTTATAACGTTACTATTTATTAAAGTCCAATTAAGTATTATTCTGATAATTTGCAGTTACAGTATCATTTACTGTACCTCAATAATCCTCAATACTGTACTATTCAAAAATACGGTAATTTCCACTCATTTTAGATATCGATTAAATAGCCGATTTGTTGAACATCGTTGTCCTTATCTCATTCCATTTATGCTTTTCAATGAAACTACCCAACAATATACCATACATACATCAGTTTCAATTGATATTGTAAATTTGTTTTTATTTTTCTTTTTAAAATTTTCGTTACTTTTTTTAGTGTATATATTTACATAATGTAGCATTTTCACAATAAGTTTTAAGTTAATAATTCTTTTGCTTTTGAAAAAGCTCAAGAAATTTAGAGTGAAATTGAAATTAATTTATTATACTTTTAGATAAAAGAAATATTTTACGCTTTGAAATATGAAAATATTAATGTAAAAGATTGGCTTCAATTGGAGCAAATTCTTAAAGTGGTATGCCTTAAAGTATTTCTCTTATAATGAATGCCATTATTCCTTTATTACCTATTTGTAAATTTAATTAAAAGATTGTTATTATCAATAAGTTTGTTAGTAATATTTATGCTAAAAACAAATAAAAAATTTTTCCATAATGAAAACTACACTTTAGTCATTTCAATGTAAGCGAAGTAAAAACATAATTACAATCTTGGTCATCAAATAATGTTATTGACACATTATTTGTTCAAATAAAAGTAAATTCAATAATTCAAAATTAAACAACTCAAATACAAAAACATTTGCTAATCACCATTGAGAAATTATGTGAAATATCTCTATGCTAAGTTTTACTGATAATATTATCTAACAGTTATCTCTTACAACACTTTAAAAGGAAGCAGTTATAAATGAACCAAAATCTGACTGATATCTCTTTTTTTTTTGAATTTTATGTCACTTTTTTGTTGTAAAACTTGTGAAATTTTCCAAAATACAAATTTTAGGCAAATGATTGGGAATTAGACAGCATAAAACGATGTGTTGTGCAAAATTTTGTTGATGGTATCAATGAAGAAAATTGTATTAGTGTTTGGCGAATGTGTGCCAAATATTTACCTGAACAAATAAAAAAAGTTTAAACATAATTTTTTGTCTTATTTAAAATGAAGATTTTTGAAAAAATGGAGAAAAAAAAAACAAGAAAAAATAATCCATTCTTTTCTTTATTAAAAATAAGGAACAAAAAAATTATTATTACTATCTTTTATTACAGACTTTTGAATATGTGTTGTATATTGTAAATTCATCTGTAAACAATGGTTACAACCTTGATTATTTTCGTCTTAAATGTAATCATTTATTTGAAATTTTGAATGCTGATTTATTGAAAGTAAACGATGAGGTATACTAATTGAATGTTACACATTTTAAATACGTAAAAAATATTTTGTATTTATTAATAAAGTACAAATTTTTGCTAAATTTTTAAATTCAAATTTTTTTAAATAAGAAAAAAAAATTGCTACATTTCTATATGTGTGTTAGATGGATGTTTGGATTCTTCTTAAACTATGGATTTTGATAGATCGTAAAAAACGTATGCCATATTGTCGTTCACTATTGAAGTGCATTCGTTATAATTTGTTAAATGATGAACAGGTTTAACAAGATTTTCTCTTATTTCTATATCAATTTAAATTATGATTTTGAGTTTATATATTTTTTTATGCTATTACTATTATTATGATTATTATTACCAGTAGTTTTTGTTCACTTAAATGTGTAGAAAAGGTAAATAATTACTGCTTGCGAAGAAATCTTTCAGTTTATCATAATTTATAAATTATAATTAAAATGATTTAATGAGAGCTTTAATGACTGTTGTAAGTATTTCTGCACTGTAGCAAAATTTAATTCAAGTTCTAATTAAATATAGCGATGAGTTTAAGGAGTAAAATTTTATGCTTTTCTAAATTTTTCATAAAAACTTCTTTTCTTTAACAAGGCATCATTAATTTGAAATATTTGTAAATGTATATTTATTAAATGTATCACTAATATCTGTTAAAATTCATTCAAAATATTCCATTAGTTTATGAATATTAAACTTAAAAAAGAAACAAATTTAAATTGAACATTTACTTCAGAATTTAATATAAGTGTATTACCAGTATTAAAAAGTATTAAAAAATACTGATTAAAAAGATAATTTAATATAAAATATTTAAAAAGTTAAGAATCAATATTAAAAAGGACAAATATTGAATATTAAGAAAAAGAGGCAATAAAAGAGAAAGAAAAACTTGTTAATATTTAATTAATAATCAGAAAAAAAAAAGAATATAAAGTAAACCATTATGGAAAATTTTCAGAAGAATGAAATTATAAAAGATCTTACACATTTTAAAATAAACATTATCGATGGTCAAAAAAGTATAAATTGGTCAATGAATACGGAAACGAGAATTCCACGTGATTTATTATTAGCAATTGGAGGCTGGGAGAAAAGAGGGCCAACAAATGTGGCAGAAGTATTAAATATAAATACTAATAAATGGCAACGTGCAAAGATACTTGAGGATAAACGTCAAATAGCTTATCATGAATGTATTGTTATCAATAATGTAAAAATTTCACTATTAAATATTTAATATTTATTTGGTTATTTTGTTTAATAGAAGAAAGAATATTTATTGAAGAATAATTTTCATTACGATTTTTTTTTTTTGTTTAATAAAATTCTGTTTTTATTAAGTATGTTTTATCGTTTGTATATATTCAAATAACATAGAATTTGTTTATCATTAATATTTATAAATTTTAAAATGTTAACTTTAGAAATTATATGTTATTGGCGTTTTGAAGGAACACAATATTTTAATAGCACACGTTGTTATGATAGTGAAACAAAAGAATGGTCTGAATTAGCTCCAATGAATTATGCAAGGTAAACTTTTAGTATAACTGCTAAATGATAAAATTTATCATATATTATGATATAATTATGATAAGATTCAATATAATCTTTCAAAAAAAAAAAAAAAAAGATAACATATGGATTAGATTTAGCAATTTAGCAAGAATAGCAAACATTTAAAATTATATTTTAGGTTGAATAAATAATTATAATATTGCTGTAATAAAATATTACAATTGAAATATTTAAATAGTTAATTACTTATTTAGCTGCTTTATTTCAACGGATTTTTCGCTTCTTTTTTCATTTTCATTCAATTTGATTTATAATTATATATCATAAATTCTTTTTTGTAAATAAATCAATAAATCATAAAAAATATTATGAAGAATAAAAAATAAGAAAATATATTTTGTTTAATACATACTATTTTAATATATATTTGATAGAATAGATATATATTATTTAAAAAGAAAAAATTGGATGAAATCTTTGTAGATGTTATATATCAGCATGTGAAATTAATGGTACAATTATTGCTGCCGGTGGTTCAGATGGTAGATCGAGACTTCGAACTGCTGAAATGTATGATATCAACAAAAATCAATGGACAAAAATTCGGTTATTATATTATTTTCTTATCATTTAATTTGTTTTTTTTCTTTTTATCAGCATAATTTAATAAAAGAATTTGTTGAAATGTCTTAAAAACAACTGAAATATTAATGATTGCTATTATCATTTCTTATATTTAATTCAAGAAATATGACACAACGACGATCAGATGCAGCAGCATGTGCTATGGGTGGTAAAATGTACGTAGCTGGTGGTTATACCGGTGAAACGGTATTACAAACGGTTGAAATGTATACACCAGAAACGGATATTTGGACTGAAGTTGCACATATGAGCTCACCAAGATCCGGTAAATAATTCATGCAATGAAAAGTTTATTTTTATCAAATAAAATTTATCAATTTAAATTAAATTACTAGAAATTGTTTAAATTAACATCGTAGTTCTTCCTTTTCATGTTTACTTACTAACTGGCTGGAAATTTTAATGCAAAGAAAAATTTGAGAAATGTTTCTTTTTCTACACATTTTAATTAACAGCATATTTGGCCAGATGTATGGTTCAGTTAATTATTAATCAAGAACTGTAAACAAAATTTATAAGTGTTATGTAAACAAAAAATAAAAATAAAGTTTTAAATTAATTGTTGAATACAAGTGCAAAAATTATTATTTTAGGTATAATAATAAAATTTCAAATACTTTTTAGGCCTGGCATGTGCAGCAAGTACAGATTTTATACTAATCGCTGGTGGATACGATGGTACAAATCGATTAAGCAGTGCAGAAATCCTACGAAATGGAAGTGCCCATACTGTAAATGTTGAATCAATGCCAATGCCAAGGTTTAAACTTTTTTGAAATATTTCAAAAATTATCTCTAAACTTTTACAAAAACTATAACTGCTGCAAGTACTAGTAAAGCATTAGCAATTTTTGCTTAACAATAAATAAAAAATTTGTTGATTTGTTATTCAAAAAAACATGGATAATTCAAATTACGCTTAAATTTTGTTGTAATAAAAGATTATATTAGAGTTATTTAAAACTTTATGCTTCAAAACTTTTACTTTAAAATATTATTCATCTGATTGTAAATTAAAGTAAAAAACTGAGTTATTTTTGTTTAGTTTTTTATTAAGATTTATCTGTTTCTAACATAAATTATTGAATTAAATTATTCCTTTTTCTTTAATTTTTTTAAGATCAAATTTTGCAATGTGCAGAATGGGAAATTATTTTTATGCTATTGGTGGTTATAATAGAACGGTGACTAAAACAGTGGTACGTTTTGATGGTAAAAAATGGGAACGAATTTGTGATTTATCAGTTTCACGTAGTGCTTTACGTGTTGTACTACTGAAAGCTTGGCCTGATCCAAATGAATTGCTTTGCAATACGAATACAAATTCAGAAATCACGCAAAATTGGACGTATGAAATAGAATCTTCAGAATGTCAAGAAACGAGTGGTTCTCAAATAACAGATATAAGTGATAATTCAAATTAAATATTATGTTAAAAATTTTACTAAATTAAAAATTGGCAATAAATAATTGCTTTTAATTAAAATTTCCAATTGAAAAAAATGCATTTTTTATGATATCCGCAATAAAATATTTGCAATATATGCATAGTATTACTTATTTTTATTATTATCACTTTATCCTAATACTAGCAGTCAATTTTAAAATTTAAATGCTAAAATAAAAATTCTGCTATAAATTTTGGTATATTTGAATAAGAGATTTAGGTAAATTTTTTTTTTTTGATTTTAATTGATCAATATTTTAGATTTAAATAATAAATTTTTAAACACCTTTGAATAATTTGACAAAATCCTTTGCATATAATTTAAGATGGAAAAAAGACGAAGTCATACGCTTCATTGTTAGCCTGATGATATATTTATTGGTTTTTTGCCCTTGAGGATTTTATGCGAAACTGACAAATACTATTGCTACTACTAATAATAATAATAACAATAATAATAATAATGATAATAATAATAATTAATAATAATAATAATGATAGCAGCAACAACAATAATAATAATAATAATAATATAGAAACTGATTCATTTGAAAAGAGACTCGAGATGAAAAAACATATATATGCGATTAAAACGTTATGAAGTATTATACAAAATTATCAAACCGATTAGAAAAGGAAATGAAACAAACAATATTCTATGTTTCAAAAATTATTGCCTTTACTAGGACTAGGAACCGGATCATTTTCTTTAAAATCAATGAAATTGAACGTTTTTCTTAGCATTTTCAATTGCGCTATTTTCAAAACAAAAGATAATAATGCCTTATGGATGAAATTGTTTTATACCAAGCCTTCAGCGGTAACACAAGACAAATCATAGTATTCTAGCGAAACCAGAAAATTTAGCAAACCACGCCAAAACCCCGGGTTTTTAATTGGTTTGCTAAAATTGTAATGTATTGCTGGATGACAATGTTTGCTATTTGCGTTACGAAACCATGATTATAGCGAAAATTAGCATCTCCATGTGCCAAACATTAACATTTTCATATACGCTATCAATATAAATAGAGTTTGGGACTAAATTAAAATGAGGAAGTCAAGCGGTTAGAAATTCATTTTTGACATTGAAATTAGTCATAATTACCAATTAGCAGTAAATTGCCGTGAAAATATTCATTTTGTACCAATTTTTATTACTTGGACAAGGGAAGAAACAAAAATTTTGTAAAAATTAAAGCTTTTTCGCATTTAATATTATCTCTTTGTCTATTTAAACTTATCTCTTTATCTCTTTGTTTCTAAAGTTAACTTTTAAAGTTTAAAGTCAGCATAAAATGTCAAAAAAAGTCAATAAGATGTCAGCAGATCAAGTGTAATGCAAATAAAAGTAATAAATTAAGTTCAATAAATGTTCATTTTTAGAAAAAAAAGGAAACTTTTTCTCAAAAGAAAAAAAAAAAACTTTTTTTTCTCAAAAGTATAAATCTCTTCGAAAAGGAAGTTAATAACAAATAGCTTTTGTCTTTTTTTGCAATAATTTAATTATTAAATTTATTTATTGTTATTTAGAAAATGCTTAAATTAATTAAGCATTATTTAAGTTAATTTCTTGTACCTTTTCCAATCTAATCATTTTATTATTTTCTTTTTTTTTATTTTAAAATTAAACAAGAAATATGCATTTAAATTCATTTTTTCATGTGGTCTTATTTAGGAAAATTTTTAAGAAATTATTGCCTTCAACTTACTGCATTTAAAATTGTTTGTTAAATGACAATTATTATAAAAATCAATAAATTAATTAAGATCATTATAAATTATCATAAATGATTGAATCATTATAAATGATATCAAATTAACATCTAATAAATGATTAATCATTTCATTTAAATTTTATTTTTTACAAGACAAAACAAAAATGAAAAAAATCATTTCTAATCACTTCGTGTCATTTTTTTCACGTGCCTGTCGTTTACGTAATTCTTTGCGACTTTCTGGTGGTTCAGTTCGTAATGGGATTTGCTCAATTTTAGGTCGTCGTTTCGAACTTGATTCCGATTCTTGACTGCTACTTGTTCGAATTTCAGCTGATTCTAGTGTTGGAGAGCTTTTGATAGCGCCTGATCCTTCCTGTTCACCCCTACCGCCACCAGTAGCACCACCGCCAATAGCACCACCGCCAATAGCACCACCACCGATAGCACCAGCAGTACCATCGCTAGCAGCAGCAGTAGTAATAGGAACATTTGAGTAGATGAGTACCGATCATTATGTGCTGTAATTACCGTACAAATCGAATCACGAGAGCTTTTTGGTGGTAATATTGAGGGAGCGGTGCTACTTTGGAGTGGAATCATTTCACCTGTTACATTTCCACTTTTAGACATGCTTTGATTGTTGAGCTAAAATTTCAGCCCAAAGTTCTCGTCTACTATCACTAATCTTTTCCTGGGTTGGGTAAATTACGTAAGATTGCTTTAAAACTGTTAACAACTACCAGATCCTATTGGAAGCTGTTGAGCTGGACGCCAATTTTTGTTAACTGATACGGATATTTCATTACTAATACTTTTGGTTGTTGCAGCAGATGATACCGAATCAAAAGGTGGAATGATATATGATCCAAGAGGTGATGGTGCTAATCCTAATGTTCCTCCTAATGGAGTTGGTGTAACTGCATTTTCTGCACCAGACACCGTATAGATGGGCGATGATAATGGTTGATTGCGATTTTGTGGTGACGCCAAATCATCCTATAATTTTTAATTTTTAGGTAGCTATTTTATTCTAAATTTTTAATATTTAATTTTAATCATATACTTATAAAATTGAATTTTTTTTTTGTTTGTTTCGTAAACATTTGCAATGTACAAATTCAAATGATTGCAAATTTTTCTTTTCATATTATGAAATTGACATATTTGTTAAAAAATTCAAAAATAAAACAAATGGAAACCATAAATTTGGCATAAACTGCATCCATTAAAAAGACTTGCACAATTGGTCCCAAATCTGGCACCTCCAATGATTTCTTCATTATTTTTTGACGCTAGAAAAATTTTAAAAACAATTTTTTTTTTTCGAATTTATAAAAATTTAATTTGAATAATTTATCTGCCATTTTTTAAATAATCCTTATAATCTCAAGTTTTTTAAGAAAAAAATTAAATGAAGCAAATAGGAAGGAAATAAAATAGCAAACATTATCAGCCACATGAATAATTTCCTTGAAATTAACATTATCCAAAAGAGCTGACGCATAACAAATATGTTCAGGATTATTTGAAGCCAAAATATGATCGCTTCATAAATTTCTAATACCCATTCAGGTCCTTGTAATAGTGGTGAAGAAAGAAGTGCGTAAAGCAATTCGAATGATAACTAAAAAAAAAGGAAAGGAAAAGGAGAGAGAGAGAGAGAGAGAGAGAGAGAAGAAGAAGAAGAATATTAATTAAATGTAAAAAAAAATTTTTTTACATTTAGCTAATTGCTTTGAAATAATAATGAAAACAAACAAAAACAAAAAAAAAAAAAAAAAAAAAAAAATTATATATAGAAAAGAAATTATTTCTTTTCTTTTTTTTTTTTACTTCTGAAAATTTTGGGCTTGCCAGAATATCATGAAATTTTATTGCTGCACCATCAACAACCATATTACGATATTGTGATTGTCTAAATGTAAGATAAAAAGTAATGATAAGGAAAAATTGCGATAAAATAATTTTTTGAGAATAATATTATTGTCTCATTCAAGATTATAACAAAATTTCGTGCAGCAATTAGACTTGTTCTTTTTTATTAAAAGATGACAAAATCTGCTAGAAGCTTTGAAGCTATAAACAGGTAAACATTGATATATACATCTGATTATATGATTTAAAATGAAAAAATTAATTAAACAAACGGAGGTAAACAAGCAATAGCTGAGTAAAGTAATGAAATTGGTGGTGATGTATTTTCTAATATGCGTTCAGTCATTTCTTCACAAATTAATGATACCAATGAAGTCACCTGAAAACTTTTTACTGCAAACACAATCATATCTACTGATCATAACTATAATTTTATTGGATTGAAAGATTTGCTTGTCATTTATTTTAATTATTAAAAAGATTATTTGCCTCTATTTAATCACTATGATTTTTTTTACTATATCATTTAAAAATTTTTTGTTAAGGTATATTTTCAGAATTCAGGCATTTTGTTCTATCTGTATTGGTTTTATCTTGATTACCTATTAGCTTATCAATTCTTCGTTTCGCCTATTTTTGATACATTTGACTTTGTCAACTATTTCTTTCTTGATTTCATCTTTTTTTCTTTTTTTTAAAAAAGCATTATTTTAATTCCTAAATTCTTTATTATTAAGTTAAGTTTAATATACTTACTTGAAGATCATTAGCTGCTATTAGAACATTCTCCAATTCATTTTCTAAAATTTGATTTGTCCACTTTGAATGAAAGCTACCACATTATAGAGACCGGCATTCGTAATATTTGGCATATCATTTAAATGAACTGTGATTTCTTTACCCGATGAAAGTGTTTCTTGTGTTGCCTAAATATAATGTTTCTAGGATATTACCCATTTAAAGTTATTTAAAATTTTAATTAGTTTAATTATACTTTCATTAGTTTAATTATATATATATATATTTTAAAAAGGAAACGACCAAATATTTAAACAATTACAAATTTTGTACAAATATTAATTAATTCAATTAAAATTTACTTGTGCTGAAATAAGTTTGCGAAAGATATCCGAGAATGCAGTAAGTAAACATGCAGGTGCATTACATGAATATCCATTTTCAAGCACAATTTTTACTCGATTTTAATACCAATATTTGCTGACCACTTTAAATATACTTCAGCTTCTAATCTATCAGTACGCAATTCATCCTTAAATGAAAACTAAATAAAAAAAAAAAATGGTTAAATATAGTCAAGAAAACTTTGAAAATATTTAATTTCAAATAAATCATTAAAATATTTTTTAGCAAAATTTATTCTTTTACCTTTAAACTTTTTTTTTCATCTTTTTTCTTTTTTTTTTTTTAAATCATAATAATACATTGAAATTTCTCAATAATTTAATGCAGGTATAAAAATGTTCTCAAATAATCTCAATATGTTTTTCCTTTCACATTTTTCTGTTTTTTTTTTTCTTTTATGCTTAAATATAAATATGCTTTTTTAGCAATTAATTATGATTAATTAAATTAATTGGAACCTTCAAATACTTTTGCGAATATCTCCTGGTACAACCCATACAGCATCCAACGCAAGTCGCTTTGTAATTGCGGGACTCCTTCCTGCGATCTGCCGTACCACATCTGATAGAAGTGATAAATGAGCGTTGCAGTAATTGAATCAAATAAATTAGTTTTTTTCTTAGTAAATAAATTTGCATATGAATGTTGCAAAAATTCATTTTCGTTTTTTAAATCAATCAATAATGTATTTTTCAATATAATTTGAGTAATTGATAGTTTAAAAATTATTTCAAGCATTGACTGATAATATTTTGAAATTAGCAAAATTAATTAATACAATTTGAATAATTGATAGTTTTAAAAATTATTTCAATTTGTTTATTTACTTATTATTTTTCCTAATTTTTAATTAATATCAATTAATGCTTGAAATAATTTTTAAAACTATCAATTATTCAAATTGTATTAATTAAATCAATCAATAATGCATTTTTCACCGGTACGTATATTCCATTCTTTCTTTAGCATATTCACTGATAAACTGTTAATAAATGAACTTTTGGCTCCTACAAAAGCAATCTAATAAGAATAAAAATGCATGAAATTGTCTTAAAAGATAATCATAAAGACACTGCACGAAATATTTCTAATTTCTTTAAATAAAAGCTTCAAACTTTAAATAAAATTTTTTTTAAAGAAAAAGGCATTGTCCTAAAATAATTGTAAACGATGAGTCATTTATTGAAATTTTTGCTTTGCAATCTTTTTTCGCAATCTAAGTTAATTTTAGGTAGTAATTTTGTAATTAAACCAATAATTTAGGATACATCTCGATGAATAAAACCTATGGTTAGCAATTTTGTTTACTAAAGCAAATGTCTATTAAAGATGTTTTGCATTTAATGATTTTGATGGATTAAATAGAATCAAAAGAACGACAATTAAATAACTATAATTTTTGCTTCTTTGAAATTAGTTTTGTTTGGGAAAAGTTATACACCTATATTAATGTGTATATGAGAGAGTATATTTATCATAGTATTTTGTATAAATAAATGTGTATGTCACTTTTTTTTTTTTTTGATTTATACTTGTACGTCTATATTTCGATTTAATCGTGTACTATGGTTGATAAAGACGATATCATACGCTTCATTGTTAGCCTGATGATATATTTATTGGTTTTTTGCCCTTGAGGATTTTATGCGAAACTGACAAATACTATTGCTACTACTAATAATAATAATAACAATAATAATAATAATGATAATAATAATAATTAATAATAATAATAATTATAGCAGCAACAACAATAATATAATAAATAATAATAATAATAATATAGAAACTGATTCATTTGAAAAGAGACTCGAGATGAAAACATATATATTAAAACGTTATGAAGTATTATACAAAATTATCAAAACCGATTAGAAAAGGAAATGAAACAAACAATATTCTATGTCTTCTCAAAAATTATTGCCTTTACTAGACTAGGAACCGGATCATTTTCTTTAAAATCAATGAAATTGAACGTTTTTCTTAGCATTTTCAATTGCGCTATTTTCAAAACAAAAGATAATAATGCCTTATGGATGAAATTGTTTTATACCAAGCCTTCAGCGGTAACACAAGACAAATCATAGTATTCTAGCGCAAGAAAATTTAGCAAACCACGCCAAAACCCGGGTTTTTAATTGGTTTGCTAAAATTGTAATGTATTGCTGGATGACAATGTTTGCTATTTGCGTTACGAAACCATGATTATAGCGAAAATTAGCATCTCCATGTGCCAAACATTAACATTTTCATATACGCTATCAATATAAATAGAGTTTGGGACTAAATTAAAATGAGGAAGTCATGGTTAGAAATTCATTTTTGACATTGGAAATTAGTCATAATTACCAATTAGCAGTAAATTGCCGTGAAAAATATTCATTTTGTACCAATTTTTATTACTTGGACAAGGGAAGAAACAAAAAATTTTGTAAAAATTAAAGCTTTTTTTCGCATTTAATATTATCTCTTTGTCTATTTAAACTTATCTCTTTATCTCTTTGTTTCTAAAGTTAACTTAAAGTTTAAAGTCAGCATAAAATGTCAAAAAAGTCAATAAGATGTCAGCAGATCAAGTGTAATGCAAATAAAGTAATAAATTAAGTTCAATAAATGTTCATTTTTAGAAAAAGGAAACTTTTTCTCAAAAGAAAAAAAAAAAAATTTTTTTTCTCAAAAGTATAAATCTCTTCGAAAAGGAAGTTAATAACAAATAGCTTTTGTCTTTTTTGCAATAATTTAATTATTAAATATTTATTGTTATTAGAAAATGCTTAAATTAATTAAGCATTATTTAAGTTAATTTCTTGTACCTTTTCCAATCTAATCATTTTTTATTATTTTCTTTTTTTATTTTAAAATTAAACAAGAAATATGCATTTAAATTCATTTTTTCATGTGGTCTTATTTAGGAAAATTTTTAAGAAATTATTGCCTTCAACTTACTGCATTTAAAATTGTTTGTTAAATGACAATTATTATAAAAATCAATAAATTAATTAAGATCATTATAAATTATCATAAATGATTGAATCATTATAAATGATATCAAATTAACATCTAATAAATGATTAATCATTTCATTTTATTTTTTACAAGACAAAACAAAAATGAAAAAAATCATTTCTAATCACTTCGTGTCAGTTTTTCACGTGCCTGTCGTTTCTTACGTAATTCTTGCGACTTTCTGGTGGTTCAGTTCGTAATGGATTTGCTCAATTTTAGGTCGTCGTTTCGAACTTGATTCCGATTCTTGACTGCTACTTGTTCGAATTTCAGCTGATTCTAGTGTTGGAGAGCTTTTGATAGCGCCTGATCCTTCCTGTTCACCCCTACCGCCACCAGTAGCACCACCGCCAATAGCACCACCGCCAATAGCACCACCACCGATAGCACCAGCAGTACCATCGCTAGCAGCAGCAGTAGTAATAGGAACATTTGAGTAGATGAGTACCGGATCGCTGTAATTACCGTACAAATCGAATCACGAGAGCTTGGTGGTAATATTGAGGGAGCGGTGCTACTTTGGAGTGGAATCATTTCACCTGTTACATTTCCACTTTTAGACATGCTTTATTGTTGAGCTAAAATTTCAGCCCAAAGTTCTCGTCTACTATCACTAATCTTTTCCTGGGTTGGGTAAATTACGTAAGATTGCTTTAAAAACTGTTAACAACTACCAGATCCTATTGAAGCTGTTGAGCTGGACGCCAATTTTTGTTAACTGATACGGATATTTCATTACTAATACTTTTGGTTGTTGCAGCAGATGATACCGAATCAAAAGGTGGAATGATATATGATCCAAGAGGTGATGGTGCTAATCCTAATGTTCCTCCTAATGGAGTTGGTGTAACTGCATTTTCTGCACCAGACACCGTATAGATGGGCGATGATAATGGTTGATTGCGATTTTGTGGTGACGCCAAATCATCCTATAATTTTTAATTTTTAGGTAGCTATTTTATTCTAAATTTTTAATATTTAATTTTAATCATATACTTATAAAATTGAATTTTTTTTTGTTTGTTTCGTAAACATTTGCAATGTACAAATTCAAATGATTGCAAATTTTTCTTTTCATATTATGAAATTGACATATTTGTTAAAAAATTCAAAAATAAAACAATGGAAACCATAAATTTGGCATAAACTGCATCCATTAAAAGACTTGCAACAATTGGTCCCAAATCTGGCACCTCCAATGATTTCTTCATTATTTTTGACGCTAGAAAATTTTAAAAAAACAATTTTTTTTTTCGAATTTATAAAATTTAATTTGAATAATTTATCTGCCATTTTTTAAATAATCCTTATAATCTCAAGTTTTTTAAGAAAAATTAAATGAAGCAAATAGGAAGGAAATAAATAGCAAACATTATCAGCCACATGAATAATTTCCTTGAAATTAACATTATCCAAAAGAGCTGACGCATAACAAATATGTTCAGGATTATTTTGAAGCCAAAATATGATCGCTTCATAAATTTCTAATACCCATTCAGGTCCTTGTAATAGTGGTGAAGAAAGAAGTGCGTAAGCAATTCGAATGATAACTAAAAAAAAAGGAAAGGAAAAGGAGAGAGAGAGAGAGAGAGAGAGAGAGAGAAGAAGAAGAAGAATATTAATTAAAATGTGAATTTTTTTTACATTTAGCTAATTGCTTTGAAATAATAATGAAAAAAAACAAACAAAAAACAAAAAAAAAAAAAATTATATATAGAAAAGAAATTATTTCTTTCTTTTTTTTTTTACTTCTGAAAATTTTGGGCTTGCCAGAATATCATGAAATTTTATTGCTGCACCATCAACAACCATATTACGATATTGTGATTGTCAAATGTAAGATAAAAGTAATGATAGGAAAAATTGCGATAAAATAATTTTTTTGAGAATAATATTATTGTCTCATTCAAGATTATAACAAAATTTCGTGCAGCAATTAGACTTGTTCTTTTTTTATTAAAAGATGACAAAATCTGCTAGAAGCTTTGAAGCTATAAACAGGTAAACATTGATATATACATCTGATTATATGATTTAAAATGAAAAATTAATTAAACAAACGGAGGTAAACAAGCAATAGCTGAGTAAAGTAATGAAATTGGTGGTGATGTATTTTCTAATATGCGTTCAGTCATTTCTTCACAAATTAATGATACCAATGAAGTCACCTGAAAACTTTTTACTGCAAACACAATCATATCTACTGATCATAACTATAATTTTATTGGATTGAAAGATTTGCTTGTCATTTATTTTAATTATTAAAAGATTATTTGCCTCTATTTAATCACTATGATTTTTTTACTATATCATTTAAAAATTTTTTATATTTCAGAAAGAGCCTGTATTGTTTTATCTTGATTACCTATTAGCTTATCAATTTCGTTTCGCCTATTTTTGATACATTTGACTTTGTCAACTATTTCTTTCTTGATTTCATCTTTTTTTTTAAAAAACATTATTTTAATTCCTAAATTCTTTATTATTGAAGTTTAATATATTTTAAGCTAGCTGCTATTAGACATTTTCCAATTCATTTTCTAAAAATTTGATTT